GGCGCCGCCGCCCCGCCTGGCCCAGGCACACGCCCGGCCCCGCCTCCCTTCACGGTCTGCTGCTCCTCTATGGGGAGGCGCACGTGCCTGGGCTTTGTGTCTCTCCTCCGGGGGGCGCGGAGCCGCCAAATGGGCCCGTCCATCAGCTTGACAATGCACGCCCCCCTCCCGCGCCGGGATTACCCGCGGGTCGCGAGCAAAATAGCAACAAAGGAGAAGAATGGCCCCAAATATGTCAGGAGGGTTCAACCCGCGAGCCGGAGCGGAGGGGAAGTTGGGAGAGCTGATTGGGTTGGGGCGGTGGTAGGCCGGAGCCGGTGCGGGGCAGATCTGAGTGCGGCTGCTGGGGTGGGAGAGGGGGTCGGGTGAGGCACAGGAACTCTTCGTGATGTTTGGGAAATAACCAAGAATCGAAAATAGCTGCAAAGCCCTAGTCGCCAAGAGCCCCCGCACGCGCCTCGGATGGGTGGGCCGCGGTACCCAAGATCCAAACGAAAGTGGGGCCTTTGGGCTCAGAGTTTGGGTAGAGGATCTGGCCTTCTGGCTGCGTCGTGGGCGATGTTTGCGTCCGCGGCCTGGGCGCGCTCCCGAGCCTCGGGATGTTTTCTCTGGAGTTTAAGAAGCAGTTGGCACCGCACTTCTTCAACCGCCAGCCAACGCGGCGCTAAAGGGGTGGGGGTTGGGGGCAGCCTGGGCTGGGTTCCAAAAGGAACTTGAATTTCTGAACTTTTTTTTTTTTTTTTTCAAAAGACTGTAGATTATAGCATATCATTTCCAATATTCCAATTTCAAATAAAGCTAAGCTTCGCCCGAGACTGGTTTGATTCAGGTGGAATTGACCAAAGCCCAAACCGCGAGGTCAGCCGCGTGCGCCCCAGTGAAGTTGGTTTCCGCTCTCGTTGCGCGGCCTCATACATTTTCATTCGGAGCGGGCATTTTGTCTGCTGGTTGACATCAGATGCTAAATCAAGGGCTCCAATCAAGGCGCTGCAGAATAAAGGGGCCGCCTGTCTGGGCGCGGGGGCCCCCCGGAGCCGTGCCCCCTTCACCTTTGTGAAGGAAATTAACCTCCCGCTATTGAGCGCCAGTCGCGGCCAATCTGGAGGCAAAAGCGACGCGTGCTGCCAGCCGTGGGTTGCGGGGGTGGGGAGGGGCAATCTGTCCACTGAGGCAGGCTGCAGCCTCGGAGTGGACAAGCTGCCTCCCGCTTCCTCACCCCCAGTCACCAGGAAAAGACAACAGCAAAGATCCACACTCCACCCCTCTCCCCCGCCGCCCCGCTCGGACCCAGACCTGGCCCTTCGCCTTCATCCCTTTCTCAGCCCAGCCCTGAGGAGGCACAAAAGGCAGCATCTCCGGAGGCGGGGGCAGAACCCCAAGAGTGTGTAGTGGCCCTGATCGCCCATCACTGGGGAGCAAATAGCAAAGGCACATAAAATGTGATATGTTGCGCGGAAAATGTCACTTGATTGAAAGAGAAGGAAATGGACATTTTTTTTTCTGCAAAGCTCTATGCAGCCAGATAGATTTTGCTGAGTTTCGCTTATGCTTAATTCCACTGAAGGTATTTAATTGTTTTCGGATTTTCCCTCTGAAAATACCCTGGCGTGGAAATTAAACAGAATTTTAAAATAGAGTCTACGTGAGTAATAAGTTGCAATGGGACAGTTGTTAGGGTTAGTTAATCACGTTGGTTAATCAAGGAGAAAGATATTTGATGATTTTTTTTTTGTGATATAGTCTTTCAACTCAGAGACTGAAAAGAGAATAATACATATAATGTAATATATTTTGAAATCTCTCACACTCGTTTTAAAAATGCTAAATGAAGTGAATGACAGTTCTGAAAAAGGTTAGAAATCCTAAAATGAGTTTATCTAAAACATGTATGTTTTCGATCTAAAAGTAACTGATGTTATTTCCCCGTTCTTTTAAGCACTGATTAATACTGCTGATGAAACTAGAAGTGGGAAAGGGATTCCGGGACAGCTTCGGCCAATTTTATTTTCTGATCACGAATCCCATCTGGATTGCGGAATAATGGGGGGTGGGGGGGCTCAGCCAGTGATCCCCAACTGACTGCGGGGTATTTGGTCTTGCATGTGTAACACTCCTTTCATTCAACAAATAACAGGGAGAGTTAGTCACCTTGTGAATTCTTTAAAATAACACCCATAATTGTAAGGGGGGGGAGGGGTTGGTACAAAACAAAAACCCTGTCTCCTGTCTGAATGCAGCGAATTTAAACAGGGCTCTGAATTCAGCCAAGAGAATCTATTGAACACTATTGAGTAAATGAGATTCAATGGATCCATTTCTTTTTTTCTTTATTTGTGGTTTCTAGTCTTGCCAGCGAAAATGAAATCTGCCTTCAGATGGGTACGGTCAAAATAAATGGGAACTTGAAAGGTACAAGTATTAGAAATTAATTTCATAACCCAGGACTGGGGAAGAATCAGGCTGTGGGCACCGACGCACACACCATCAACCTCTGAGGATGTGCACTCTTGTACCGGTCGTGGATTTCCGTTGTTTTCTGCATGATTTTATTTCTCAGAATCTTCGTGCCTGCGGGGATAGGGACATGGTGTCGAGATATTTGTTTTCCTCTAAGAAGAGCAAAGCGCCGCCACGCTGCGCCCCAGCGGCCGCCCTTTGCACACTGCAATTCCGAATAGGGGCCGCGTAGAGTTGGACTGGGGAAACACTGAGCGCCGATATGACCCGCTCCAAGGGAGCTTCACGGAACCGGCGAGCAAAAGGATCCAGAAGTGTCCTTCCCAGGTCCCAGGAGTCTCCTCCTTTTCCTATCGGGACCCAGCCAGCTCTTTGGAAACATACGGTGGCCTCTATCGCTTCCTGATCTTGCAGACCCGGTTGTGGGTTCTTTTGACGGCCGCAGAGCTGGAGGCCGTAGGCGCTCTAAGTTCTCCTTCCCTGATGTCTCAGGCTGCCGTCGGGGAGCGCGCCGGGGTTCATTGTGACCCCCTAGCTCAGGAGTCTAGCTCCAGGGAGGTTTTAGAAAGCATGAAGTTTGTAAATGAGCGCTAGAACGGAGAATTTCGGCCTAGGAATTGCCCCGTGGGGAAGTCTACGAGTCCAGGCAGCCCCTGAGCTCCTCGGAGGCGAAGACAGGAGGGTCCGCAGTCTCACCCCTGGCACCCGGCGCGTTTCGCCAGGGAGGGGGGAGACGGAGTTGTCAGCGTCCCGACCCCCACCGCCCTTCCTCTGCTGCGTACTCCGGCTGGATTCACAGAAGTCCTACCCCAGGCCCTTTTTGCCCAGGAGTCAAGACCCGGCCCGAACCGTGCGCTACCGCCACAGTGCCAGCCATCACGTCTTGGAGGGGCCCGCGCCCTGGTGCACGCTGCACGCTGCACGCAGACCCAAGCCCAGGAGAGGCTTTGTGTTTGCAGGAATGAGGGGTTGTTTTGTCAGTCCCTGGGGCACGCGAGAGACACGCGCAGCCGGCCGCCTGCCGCCCCTCGCGGCTACTCCGGCCTCCGGGCACCTTCTCGGCCTCCGCCCGCGGGCCGCCGCCTTTGTTCTGTACATTAGCATAAAGCTGCCACGGATCTCCCGTTTAAATAATTCCACACAAAAGGAGAGTGCATGAAAGAAAAGCGAACAAGGGAGAGTCCGCCAGGCCGCGCCGTCCGCCGGGCGCGGGAGCAGCCGCGCTCAAGTATGTCCCTCCCCTCGAGTTTCAAGTGCCCCCAGCAATCTGCTGCTCGCCCATTATTCGGCCGGGGGCCGATGGGGTGGCTGCAGCCTCTTTTATCCTCCCGAGTGGGCCGTCGGGCCACCGCATGCTTCTTGAAGTGCCCTCGGGGCTGTTTGTTTTTGCCTTGGGTCTGACGGTCCCGGCCGGGAGGTGGGGGTAGTCAGGAAGGTCCCTGGCGCTGGCTACTGAAAAGGTGGGGTCTCCAAAAGCTGGCAAAGGTGAAGCCAGAAAATGCGGTAAAGTCATACGCAGAAAAGTGTGCCCTAAAGAGCTGGGGTGGCACTGAAAGGACAGGGATGACATTGAACGTGGGGCACCAA